CGGAGAACAAAAGAGAAACCAAGATAGGCACGATATGCACACGCATTACTGCAGCAACCATCGATCTTCCCACTTATTGTTCTACTTCCGGACATCCTATCGTTTCATGTACGGCCATTTGCTTATACCCGTAGATAGGTAGCTTAGGTAAGATAGTCCGCTGTACGTGTATATAAGACCGGCCATGTAGGAGACGAAACCTCAGATTGTTTCTCCTCGTCTACTACCCATAGCACTCACTGAGCTCACCAGCTCCTTCATATATCTCTCACCCATTCCTGCGTCTGCCACATCGACCAGTAAGTCAACAGGCTCTTGCGCCACATAGGGTTCAGGGGGATACTTTTGGGATCAGCGGGATCAGGGCAGCACGTTCCACGTGACTGTCCCTTTTTAGTCTTTTTGATCTCTTGTCCGGTGTTACCGTGACAACACCAGATGAAAGCGCTTCGACACTCTACAGTGAGAAAACCTGGCTTCAAGGAGCTATCTTGACCAGTGTAGGATATGGGGTCATCGTGACACTCTTCTGCATGTGCTTTCGTCTTCTCCTCTCCAGCAGGAACCACAGACAGAAGACACTATTCCTGGTGTACATCTCTGTCATGTTCATTCTGGGATCCACTTTCATGGGAGCGTGCATGGAGATGACACAGCTATCATTCATCCAATATCGTAACTTCCCTGGGGGACCTAGCGAGTACGAGAATGTCGAATTCTCCATACCAGTGGATGAGGCGGGGAATGTCGCCTTCATTCTCACTAACTGGTGTGCAGATGCGCTGATTGTGAGTATTACTGGCCTTTGGTATGAACAAAGACATGTTTCTGAAGCCGTGCCTAGGTGTGGCGCTGCGCCGTGATTTACAGGGGAGGTCGAGTCTCCCCATGGGTCACTGCATCGCTTCCATGTGCGATGTATCTTGCTGAGCTCGGTATGTACAAACACAGTTATCACCAAGATAGCCACTGAGAAGTGTCGATATGTAGCAATGGGTATACTATGGCTCATCCAAATCTCTACACCGTCTTCATCGCCTTTCCAGACATCGTCTGCTGGCGCGATCAATTGGACTCTTCCATACTTGAGCATTGCGGTCGCTCTCAATGTCATCATCACGATACTGATTATAGGGTAATTGCTCATGCATCATTGCTACATTACCTCAGTATTAGGACCGGGGCATGCTTCGCACTACACGGGTGTCGCGGCGATGATTGTTGAATCAGCAGCGCTATACTCTGCCTTCACCCTTCTCTTCATTATTCCATTCGGCATGGGGAACCCGATCGCAAACACATTCTTGCAGGCATTGTCAGAGGTACAAGTGAGTTGTCGACCTCATTTCATTACAATCAACTGATCTCAACCTGGTGCTCAAGATCATTGCGCCCTTCTTGATTATCTACCGGGTCACTCAGGGCAAGGGCTGGTCAGCAACTACATCTAGGATGATCTTGACAGAACATTCGAGAGCTAAATCTGGAGACGTGATTTTGACGAATCTCGCAAGAGCTGGAAATTGGTCGAACATTCATTTCGCAGCAGCGGCAGATGATAGTGTTTGTAAGACAGGCAGGGATGGAAAGGAGTCTATACTGAGAACCCAAGTGATGCAGGGAGTTTCCGAGGAGGCAGCTGAGGGACTTGCGAAGCATGGCAAAGTGCATACTCCAGAGATGGCAGTATGATGGAGTGAGGTTAGAGGATACCTTACAACGTTTTCTACCTTTCGTATCAGCATGAACCATGCCCCATGTAGCGTTCGCCACAATCCCGGAGGACAAGCGAGCGGATGATGGAGCGGGGCAAGGAGAGCTCGGGCTTATATGCCGAGCTCCCTAATTAGGATTACTTTATATATAAGTACATATTTGAAATATTACATAATGTGGCACCAGCCACAACGTCTTCACTGGGTGCTCTTGGATTGCTCCCTCTGGGCATTCCCAACACTCTCCCTCAAGCCGACGGGCATCCCTAGTAATCCCATTAGTTTTTGATGCCTGGGCTTAGCAAGAGGCTTGGTAAAGATGTCCGCGGTCATATCACCTGTCGGACATCGGACAATATTTTACCTGAATAATTTCATCATTAACTTTCTCTCGAATGTAATAATGTCTGATATCGAAATGCTTTGATCGCGCATGGAATTGCGGATCTTTCACAATTGATATAGCGCTCATGTTATCGCCGTTCAAAATTGTTGGTTCGGTCTGTTCGAAACCTATTTCTTTGAATAGATTTCGCAGCCATACCGTCTCTTTTGCAGCTTGAGCAAATGCCGTATATTCGGCTTCCGTAGTAGATAATGCGACAGTGGATTGCTTCTTCGAGCTCCATGTTATCGCACCTGTGCCTAGTAGGAAAACATATCCTGAGATCGATTTTCGATCTTCATCATTGGCAAAATTGGCATCGGAATATCCCTCGAATTTACATTGTTCGAGGTATGGTTTCCCTTCTTTGGGACCATATACTATTC